GTGAGAGGAAAGGCGGTTCTCAAGGAGGGAGTGTGAGCACAACTCAAGAAGCTATCGTCCAGCTTTTGGTATTTCTACAGCGGCAGCAGCAGCAGAAAAATCAACAACAGCAACAACATGCATCAGTCCTGCAGCTGCATACTCCAAGGGATGATCCACCCCTTCCCGCAGCACTCCCAGCAGCCAAGAAACCAGGTGGGACCAGCCTACGGACAACTGCAGATGGGTTTTCTGAAAGGCCAGCAGCACAACAGTCAGCAACAATCTTTCCGCACCGTGGAATTACCCCCCCACCTGCTGCTACACGCCCTGTTTCATCCCCACAGCCTAATTCATTTCCGCATGATTCTTCACCTCAACTCTCTATGGGACGTTCGGCACCAAGAAATATACTGCACGGATCATTAGGCCCTGCTGCCCCATGCCCAGTGCCTGTTTTATCCTCACTAGATACCTCAACTCATGGACAATTTTCGGCACGCACCCTACCATCTCTTCCCCGACCATTTGCATCCACACAGCACGTCCCTGGACAGTCCCTTGCTTCTGCTTCTTCGACAATGCCAGTCTCAAATCTGCCGCTTTCTCAGTCCTCTCACAATCAATTGCTATCGTTGTGTGCCATGTTCACTGCAACTGCTGGACTGGATGAGGAGTTTTCTGCATTGGTTGCGTGGCACATGCAGCTGCAGCGTCGAAGGCGGCGGCGGCAGCAGCAGCAGAATCAGAAGGAGCAGGAGCAGCAGCAGGAGCAGGAGCAGCAGCAGCAGCAGCAGCCTGGGGGTGCGGAGCCTGGGGGTGCTGAGCCTGCGGGTGCTGAGCCTGCGGGTGTGGAGTCTGGGGGTGTGGAGTCTGGGGGTGCTGAGCCTGAGGGTGTGGAGCCTGGGGGTGCTGAGTTTAGGGATGCTAAGCCTCGGGGTACTGCTTCTTCTGGAGGTCCTGCGGGTGATTCGCCACGACTGTCTCCCCGGCCAGAGCCTCTCTCCCCGCAGCAGCTGCGCAAGTGGTTTACTCGGTGCACACGCCTTCGGACTGGAGCTCCCGGCGCTGGAGACTCTGCCACTGGAGACACTGGAGTTGGAGGTGCTGGAGTTACTGCTGGAGCTGGTGGTACCGGAGGTGCTGCAGCTGCTGGTCCTGGAGGTGCTCGTACCAGGGGTACTGGAGCTACCGGGACTGGTAGTGTTGGGGACGCTGGAGGTGGAGACTCTACGGGGCCTGGAGCTGCTGGGGCTGGAGGCACTGGAGCTGTAGGCACTGGCGCTTGTGGCGCTAGAGCTGGAGGAGCTGGAGCTATAAGAGCTGGAGCTGGAGGCACCGGCGCAGGAGGCGCTGGAGCTGGAGGAGCTGGAGCTCTTGAACCTGGAGCTGGAGGTGCTGGAGCTGGGGGTGCTATGTCTGGTGGTACTGGTGCTGGAGGCACAGTGCGGCCGCGACCGTACTTCGTTTCCCTGCTTCAGCAGGTTCTTGGTGTCCCATCTTCTCCTGGCCTTACTCCTCCCTTACTGTGTCCACCGCCTGACCACTCGCAGCCGCTGTTACAGCCAGCCTCCGCACTGCCTGCTCCTACTCCTTAAACTGCGCAGGCCGGTGGTCTTACAGAGCATCATCAGCCTGCGTCTCGTCTTGCCTCCCCTGTTCGTACTGGTCGTCGCGTTACTCATCTGTGTCCTCCTCTTGTCCCTGGAACCCACGCTCTGGCACTTCGTCCTTCCTTTGTTCCAATGCGTGTTCCTCTACCGCCTCCTCCTGAGTCCTCTCTTCCTGCCGTCCCTGACCCTGAGTCTGAACGCGCTCGTGCAACCAGTCCCACTGTCTCTTGTCTCCTCGCCACTGTCGTCACTGACCCTTCTTTTGAGTCCACTGCTGCGTCTGCCCTAGTTGCTGAGCTGGTTGACTTTGTTGCTGCCTGTTGTCTAGACTACGCCACTGCTCTTGTTGCTGAGTCTGAGTCTGCCAGTCCTCCGTCCCTCGGGGGTGAGTGTGTTCTTAGCACGGACGTCCTTGAGGACAGGCAGGAGGAATTTGAGTGTCTTACAGCTGCTGTGCCTTGTTTCGCTTCCACGCTGCTTGCCCCTGAGGGAGACCCGGATGCACCAGACATCCCGACCCCGCGCTCTTACGCAGAGGCGATTACGGGTCCTTACTCCTCTCAGTGGCCGGCAGCCATGGATGCCAAGATGGCATCCTGGAAGTCCACAGGCACCTACGTCGACGCAGCTCCCCCGTCTAGGGCAAACATAGTCTATGGGATGTGGATTTTCAGGGTGAAGCGGCCGCCGGGTTCTCCGCCTGCCTTCAAGGCGCGTTACGTTGCTAGAAGCTTCAGTCAGCGACAGGGGGTCGACTACTTCCAGACCTTCTCCCCCACCCCAAAGATGACTACTCTTCGGGTGTTGCTGCACGTCGCTGCTCAGCGTGACTACGAGTTGCACTCTCTGGACTTCAGCACAGCTTTCTTGCAGGGCAGCCTACACGAGGAGATCTGGTCGTGCCGCCCACCTGGCTTCACTGGGTCGTTTCTTGCAGGTACCCAGTAGAGCCTCTGGCAGCCAGTTTACGGTCTCCGCCAGGCGCCTCGCGAGTGGCACAACACACTGAGGACTACATTTGCGGCTCTAGGGTTTACTCCTTCTACTGCTGACCCGTCGCTGTCTCTACGCACCGACACGTTGCTGCCGCCGTTCTACGTCCTCGTGTACGTCGACGGCCTCGTCTTTGCCACTGCTGACACTGAGGCACTGACCCTTGTGAAGTCGGAGCTGCAAAAGAGACACACCTGCACTGACCTGGGTGAGCTGCGCAGCTATCTTGGCTTGTAGATCACCTAGGACAGAGCACGGCGCACCATCACACTGACTCAGTCACACATGGTGCACCAGGTCCTTCAGCGCTTCGGCTTCCAGTTCTCCTCGCCACAGCCCACTCCTGTGTCTACCGACCACTCGCTCTCAGCTCCACCTTTGGACGAGTCCGTAGAGGCGAGTGGTCCGTACCCAGAGCTTGTGGGTTGCCTCATGTACCTGATGATGTGCACACGACCTGACCTCGCGTACCCTCTCAGCCTCCTGGCTTGCTACGTGGCTCCCGGTAGGCACCGAAAGGTGCACTAGGATGCTGCGAAGAGGGTACTGCGTTACTTGTGCAGTACGTCAGGCATGGGGCTCGTGCTTGGAGGACGGGGTCCAGTTGTCCTCACTAGTCACACAGAGGCTTCTTGGGTTGACGACTCAGCTACGCAGCGGTCGTCACAGGGTTACACCTACAGCCTCGGTTCCGGCTCTGTTTCCTGGCGGTCTACCCGCTCGTCTTCGGTTCTCAGCTCCAGTTGTGAGGCTGAGATCTACGCCGGGGCCATGGCTGCACAGGAGTTACGCTGGCTCACCTATTTGCTGTTTGACTTGGGAGAGTAGCCTCGTTCTTCTCCAGTTATGTACGTAGACAACAAGGGCATGATTGCCTTGTGTCAGGAGCACATACTGGAGCACCGAACAAAGCACATCGCTCTGCAATACTTCCTTCCTCGAGAGTTGCAGCAGCGTGGTCAGCTTCGTCTTGCGTACGTGGCCACTAGGGCCAACACTGCTGATATATTTACCAAGGCACTTCCGCCTGGTGATCATCAGCGCTTCTCTACTGTGTTAGGCCTTGTGCCTACTTTGCCTCACTTGCTCACTGCTTAACTCTGCTTGTACTGTGATATATATATATACCTGCATGCTTACACTTGCTAGGGTATGATCAATGTATTGTTTGTTCTCTTTTATATAACTCTGCATGTGAACAGGCCTTGTGGCCCTTTGCTTGTGCTCGAACTGTGTGGTGACTTTGTGATCCACCATGAGCTTGCTTTGCTTTTCTTGACTGGTCTTGTGACCACTTGTTCTCCCCCACTTTGCCTATGGGGGTGTGTCATAATGTTATAATGCTTACAGTTGTGTAGGCTATAGTGGGGTAGCCCATAAGGGGTACAACCCAATTAGGGTTAGTACTTGTACCCAAATCTTTCATAGTTCATTCATTCTTGTTCGTTAGTTTGACAGTACTAGTATGTGAGAACAAGATGAATGGATAAAAGCAAAGAGATACAAGGATATATATATGATTATACGGAATACGAAGGGTTTAACTGTAACTGCTGTTGCGGTTCGATACAGTGACGACTCGGGTAACTGTTCAATAACGAGTCAGTTATTTGTCCTTTCTGTCGCGCTGCCTTTGTCAAGTCAAAGGTCGCTGACCTTTGACCTTCGCTTCAACCTCCTGCTGCTGTCGCCTAGTTAAAGCCAGCAGCTAAAATAGTTGGGTCCAACTTCTAGTTGGGTCCAACTTGAAGACCCAAGTTTCTTTGTAGTGTTGTAGAAGGTTGAAGAACTGTGCGTGTGTTTTTTTTCCAGCTCCAGACAAGTTTCGGAGTGAACAAGGAACAAAGTTCTTTCTCAATTTTGATTGGCAGCCAAACAGATGTGCGAATTTGGCGCAAAGAGCTGCGACGTGCAAGGCAGTGCAACCATTTGACGAGTTGTGACTTCATCAAATGCACATCTAGCAACAGCACAGACAAGATCCCAAGCACACACATACACTGAAGAATACGACTAAGTGCAGCAGAGGCATCGATTGCGACGGAATTGGATGGATATCGTGAGGGCGAGATGAAGGGAGGGGTGATTGTGAGGGCGACAGGGCTATGGCAGGGCGACGGGACGGACGAGATAGCCGAATAACAGCGGGGCTCGCTAGCAAATGCGAGGGCGAGGGGCAGCGAGAGGAGATGCGACGGGGAGAGCGTGAGCGTGAGGGAGATGGGAGGGGAGAGCGTGAGCGCGAGGGAGATGCGACATGGAGAGCGTGAGTAATGTTTGAACACCAAGGCTGAATGGTTCACCCGATGAAAATTTCTAACAGAAAATAAATCCAAGTTAATTCGTAGTTCCAAAAGGAGAGAGCCGCATAACCCACGTCCCTCTCAGTGCCCAATGCCACCTTAAAGAAACAATTTAATCAGGCACGGTAGTACTTCGAGCGAGAACAGCGAGAGCGACGTAGTAAGGAGAGAGAGGAAGGTTGACGGGAGAGAGGAGGGGCGACGGGAGAGAAGAGGGGCGACGGGAGAGAAGAGGGGCGACGGGAGAGGAAGCGCCACAGAGAGAGGAAGGGCGAACGGAGAGAGGAAGGGCGAACGGAGAGGGGAAGGGCGAACGGAGAGGGGAAGCGCGGCGGAGAGGGGACTGGCGAACGGAGAGGGAAGGGCGAACGGAGAGGGGAAGGGCGAACGGAGAGGGGAAGGGCGAACGGAGAGGGGAAGCGCGACGGAGAGAGGAAGGGCGAACGGAGAGGGGAAGGGCGAACGGAGAGGGGAGGGGCGAACGGAGAGGGGAAGGGAGAACGGAGAAGGGAGGGGCGAACGGAGAGGGGAGGGGCGAACGGAGAGGGAAGGGCGAACGGAGAGGGGAAGGGCGAACGGAGAGGGGAAGCGGGACGGAGAGGGGAAGGGCGAACCGAGAGGGGAAGGGCGAACAGAGAGGGGAGGGACGAACGGAGAGGGGAAGGGAGAACGGAGAGGGGAGGGGCGAACGGAGAGGGGAGGGGCGAACGGAGAGGGAAGGGCGAACGGAGAGGGGAAGGGCGAACGGAGAGGGGAAGCGCGACGGAGAGAGGAAGGGCGAACGGAGAGGGGAAGGGAGAATGGAGAGGGGAGGGGCGAACGGAGAGGGTAAGGGCGAACGGAGAGTTGAAGGGCGAACGGAGAGGGAGGGCGACGGGACGGCGACGGGAAGGCGACGGGACGGCGACGGGACGGTGACGGGAAGGCGACGGGACGGCGACGGGACGAACGACGGAACGGACGGCGCGAGGATGATCGGAACGGGAGGGCGAGCGAGAATCGATGGGAAGGCGGCGAGAGTGCGTTCGAAACGGCACAAAGTACTACACAACCATGCCAGCTTCACTGTGCGTCAAAATTGAAACCACAACGGCCTAAGTTGATGGTTCTATGGCTAGGCAGGCTATTTATAACTAAAAAACAGAGATGTATGATCGGAAGAACTAGTAGTTCACCCAGGCCCAACTTGAACCCCAAGCTGGGCCCAAAATCGCAAGGACGTGCGTGGGCGATCGCGGTGCTAGAGGTGTGCGCCTTCCCAAACAGATGTGCGACGCCTGACGTGCTGCGTTTCCTTTTTTTTGGGTTTGGCGAGAACCAATCAGATCTGTTCGATCTGCAAAAATGCTCCCAAAGGAACAGTGCAAACGAGAGAAAATTGTTTCGCTCGGCAGGCCCCCTTTCAAGCTGGCCCCGGGTTCACTATTTTGCATTTCGGTTTTAACTGCTTTGGTTGACTCGGTGCTGCTTCGCTGTGAGTATACTTCTCTTTTTGTTCCAGTGCTCGATACTTCAGAATCGTAAACTAAATGTTTCCAATAGTAGGTACGGCAGGTAGGAGGTTGTTGTAAATGTGGGAAATCCAACCACCCTTTTTACTGCACATGTCCTATTCATGTCCTTATGGGGTCTTGTTGCATTTCAGTTCAGACCTTCACAGTCGTAGCACATGCTCAATGCCAAGTTACATAACCTTTTCCTGTGGCCCACATGTGATACGAGAGTGTCGGATACTTCAACTTCATTGGCTTCATACTAAAAAGCTTGGAAGGTGTATGTTGCAACTCTAGAACCACGACCTCTTATGGCATGCTCATACCGTACCATACATTACAAGCCTACTTTATAATTTCGCATTCCGTTATGAGTAACTCACTATTTGGTCACTAGTACCGTATGACCGAGCAAAGAAGGCATGCTCGATTAGCTCACATCACACATCCAAACACTTTCACTTTATGTGGAGTCTGGGGTCCACTCTCTCCATTTCTTCACCAGTACGTATTTGTCCTCTTCCTTATCACATCACTAGCTCCGACTTTTGAGGCGCCTCAGACAGGCTTCTAGTACCGTACCTCATTGGCTCAATTACTTGTAAATATGTAATTCTATCACATTTAGTCACATTCACTAAGAGCCATCGGATGTTCCATCTCATTTAGTCACGTTCACTAATGGCCGTCAGATGCGCTTCGATCTCATCCACAGAGAGCGTTCTGAAGGCTGTCTCCTCCTTGGCTGCAACCAACCCCACCTGCACATGTGGAATGACACAGAGGGAGGAGGTACTTGAAAAAACCCCGCAGTGCATCCGTTCACTGAAATAACGAGAAGGTGAAACTTAGCGCATCCATTCACAACTCTGTTGTATATCCCTACTGATCTTCCTGCTGATGATTTACTCCCAACTTTACCTGACATAACATGCTCATCACATCTCCCTCCGATGCTACAATGTGCTGCTGAGATATGCGGCTAAGATGTGCGGCTGAAATGTGCTGCTGAGATGTGCTGCTGAGATGCGTCGCTGAAATGTGCGGCTGAGATGTGCTGCTGATAACGCTGCTGTACTGCCCAGATATGGTTCTGTGAGATGCTGCTAATCAACGAAATGTCCTCACCTCGATCCCCATATCACCCCCCCTCACCTCGATCCCCATATCACCCCCCCTCACCTCGATCCCCATATCACCCCCCCTCACCTCGATCTCGGTCGCCTTCATGTCTTCCGAAAGCACGCCTTGCAGCGCTGAGATGAGACGCTGCTGATGCTCTGCTCACTATGACTGACAGTCACTACACCCAACCTTCCTGTCTTACCTCTACACCCATCGTCACCCATCATCACCAATCCGCACCTCGATCTCGGTCGCCTTCATGTCTTCCGAAAGCACGCCTTGCAGCGCTGAGATGAGACGCTGCTGATGCTCTGCTCACTATGACTGACAGTCACTACACCCAACCTTCCTGTCTTACCTCTACACCCATCGTCACCCATCATCACCAATCCTCACCTCGATCTCGGTCGCCTTCATGTCTTCCGAAAGCACGCCTTGCAGCGCTGAGATGAGATGCTGCTGATGCTCTGCTCACTATGACTGACAGTCACTACACCCAACCTTCCTGTCTTACCTCTACACCCATCGTCACCCATCATCACCAATCCTCACCTCGATCTCGGTCGCCTTCATGTCTTCCCAAAGCACGCCTTGCAGCGCTGAGATGAGACGCTGCTGATGCTCTGCTCACTATGACTGACAGTCACTACACCCAACCTTCCTGTCTTACCTCTGCACCCATCGTCACCCATCATCACCAATCCTCACCTCGATCTCGGTCGCCTTCATGTCTTCTGACAGCACGCCTTGCAGCGCTGAGATTGCCAGCTGCAGGGGGAGAGAGGGGGGGGGGACGGCGGGCCAGGGGGGAGAAGGTTGGTTGACCAAGGGGGAGCGAGGGGGGAGAGAAAGAAGCGGATAAGGCTAGAGCCAGTATTCCGAAAACACGCCTTGCAACGCTGAGATGGGCAGCTGAGGGGAGAGAGGGTGTGGCGACGGGGACAAGAGGGACAAGGGGGGAGAGGCGAGGGGGGTTGAGATGCGGTAAGATGTGGTGTGGCGTGGTGAGATGAGGTTAAGTGCGGTACTGTAAGATACTGCTTATACTGACCTGCGCTGCCTCGTCAGCTGTGAGGTTCTGGTGCTTCCCATCCTTGAGCTTCTTCACTTAAGTGTTTATTGGTGGCACAGGTTGAAGCGAGATTCTGTGCGGTGAGATGTGTGAAGATGCGGTGTGGCGTGGTGACATGAGGTAAAGTGTGGTGCCGTGGGGTGCTGCTCTTACTCACCTGCACTGCCTCGTCCGCTGTCAAGTCCTGGTGCTTCCCATCCTTGAGCTTATTCTCCGAAGGGCTTATTGATGCCACAGGGTGAAAAGAGATGCTGTGCGGTGAAATGTGGTGAGACGTGGTGAGATGTGGTACAGTGCGGTACTGCAGGGTTTTGTCCTCTCCTCACCTGCACTGCCTCATCCGCTGTCAGGTTCTGGTGCTTCCCATCCTTGAGCTTCTTCTCCAGAAAGTTTATCGCCTCCTGCTCCTTCGCTCCCGCTCCTGTGGCCTGGCAAGATGCAGTGAGATGCAATGCGGTGGATAACGGTGAATTACTCATGCCATGAAGTTCAGCCCCTTCTGTTCCTTGGCTCCTCCTGCCCCTGTGGCCTGGTGAGATGGGTCGATGGGAGGGTGGGAGGGGAGGATGGGGGGGGGAGATGGGAGGGCAGGATGGTGGGGGGGGATGGGAGGGGAGGATGGGGGGGGAGGATGGGGGGGGAGGATGGGAGGGGAGGATGGGAGGGATGGGAGGGGAGGATGGTAGTTCTGAGACATCTGAAAAATGAAGAGGTTGACAAAAAAAGTGTGCACGCACACATCTACATATGCTCATCACTAGTAATGTGAATAGTACACACACAAACCTTTTAACTTAGTAACATAGTAACCGCACGCACCTTGTAACCGACATAGTAGCCAGCTGGGTCGCACTTGTACAGCATGGGTCCAAACTCGTCATCAATGCCAATCAGCATGGTGGCTGTGATGGGGGTGGGGGGTATTGAGGGTGAGGGGGGTATTGGAAGAGCAGCATTGGGCATTGGGCAGAAAGTGAGATATGTGAAGGGCACTTGTACAGCATGGGTCCAAACTCGTCATCGATGCCAATCAGCATGGTGGCTGTGATGGTGGGGGGGAGGGGAGGGAGGGGGGAGGTGTATTGGAAGAGCAGCATTGGAGAGAGCATTGAGGTATGGCGGAGTGACACTTGTACAGCATCGGGACGAACTCATCGTCAATGCCGATCCGCATGGTGGCTGTGATGGGGAGCATTGGGGTAGAGGCATTCGAAGGGGTATTGAGGAGAGGGAGGCACAGGGGTGTTGGGAAATGGGCTGGATCGCAGTTGTCATCAATGTTGATCAGTATGGCAGCTGGCAGAGGGGCGTGGGAAGCATATGGCGAGTGGCAATGACATGGCGTGTGTGTGAGAGACGGCATGGCATGCTAGAGATATGGTAGCTGTCTCACAACTGCTTCACCCACCCACTCACTCACACACGAGCACACTCATACACACGAGCACACTCACTCATGCCCAACAGTTGGCAGAGCTGACGAGGGCAGCAAAAGAGGAGGCGGAGGAGGCCCGATTGCAAAAAGAGAAGGGAGGCCGCCAGACTGAGGGAGGAAGGAATGCCGAGGGAGCAGCAACGGCGGGTCGAGGCAGAACGGACAAGGAAGGAGCTGAAATGAGAGCACCCATGCACCTGGGCCACCCATTCAACCACTCACCTGCACACTCACTCACACACAAGCACTCACTCACTCACACACGAGCACTCTCACTCACTCACTCACACACGAGCACTCACTCACTCACTCACACACGAGCACTCTCACTCACTCACTCACACACGGGCACTCTCACTCACTCGCTCAATCACTCGCTCACTCACACACAGGCACACTCACCCACGCCCAGCGGTCGCATGTATGCCTGCTGGGTATACACCTGAGCCATGTCCGCCAATCTGCCCACACATACAGGGAAGAGAGGTAGCGGGGCGAGGGGGTGGGGAAGGAGGAGGAGAGAGGGCAAGGGACAACAATCAGGTACACAATGAATCTCCAAGGTTAGACGGTAAAAAACGAGAACACTTCCAAGCAGTTAGAGAATTCTCCACATAAAAACCTCGTGAACTGAGACGACTTTTGAGGCACCTCATTAGGCGCCTCAAGAGAGGTAGCGGGGCGAGGGGGTGGGGGAGGAGGATCAGCTGGGCAAGGGATAACAATCAGGTACACAATGAATCTCCAAGGTTAGACGGCAAAGAACGAGAAGATGCATGCCATGCCATGCCATCACATGCCATGCCATGCCATGCCATCACATGCCATGCCATGCCCTGCCCTGCCATGCCCTGCCCTGCCCTGCCCCTGCCATTCCCCATGGAGTGCACACCTTGTATGTGCAAACCGAGGGTACATCACAGACAATATACATGTGACGATTGCATTGCATCGTTGTTTGCACATCCTTTCCACTCACAGCAGTTTTGTTTTGAGACGTCTCAAAACTAGGGTACATCATGTTGTGACGTTTGGATTGTACCATTGTATGCAATGCACATCGTTTCCACTCACAGCAGTTTCAACCAGAACTCTGCGGCCTCGTGGCTGTGGTTCATGATTCAGCATCTTCCACCCCACCCCAACACCACACATTACCACTAAAAAAGAACTTTTCACCACACATCGCCTCACCTTCTCGCAAGGTAGTCCACAGGTACGTCGTACCCCAGCTTGAACCGGAACTCTGCCGCCTCGTGGTGAGTGATACAGTAGTAGTACCTTCCACCCAACCCACCAGCACCGCACAGTACCACTAAGCACACATCATCTCACCTTCTCGACAGGTAGTCCACAGGTACGTCATACCCCAGCTTGAACCGGAACTCTGCCGCCTCGTGGTGAGTGATACAGTAGTAGTACCTTCCACCCAACCCACCAGCACCGCACAGTACCACTAAGCACACATCATCTCACCTTCTCGCCAGGTAGTCCACAGGTACGTCGTACCCCAGCTTGAACCGGAACTCTGCCGCCTCGTGGTGAGTGATACAGTAGTAGTACCTTCCACCCAACCCACCAGCACCGCACAGTACCACTAAGCACACATCATCTCACCTTCTCGCCAGGTAGTCCACAGGTACGTCGTACCCCAGCTTGAACCGGAACTCTGCCGCCTCGTGGTGAGTGATACAGTAGTAGTACCTTCCACCCAACCCACCAGCACCGCACAGTACCACTAAGCACACATCATCTCACCTTCTCGCCAGGTAGTCCACAGGTACGTCGTACCCCAGCTTGAACCGGAACTCTGCCGCCTTGTGGCGAGCCCTCAGCACCAGCGACCTGGCGTCGGCTGGTGGGGGATGGGAGGGTGTGAGGGAGGGAGGGAGGGAGGGAGGGAGGGAGGGGGCGAGCGAGGGGGCGAGGGAGGGAGCGAGGGCGGGAGCGAGGGAGGGAGGGAGGGAGGGAGGGAGGGAGGGAGGGAGGGAGGGAGGGAGGGAGGGAGGGAGGGAGGGAGGGAGGGAGGGAGCGAGGGCGGGAGCGAGGGAGGTAGCGAGGGTGGGCGCGAGGGAGGGGGCGAAGGAGGGAGCGAGGGAGGGAGCGAAGGAGGGAGCGAGGAGGGTGTGCGGGAGGAGGGGGGTGTAGGGAAAATCAAAATGTTCGAATCAATGGCTGGGATTAGCTCGCAAGAAAAGGGAGTTTTGATATGTCTCAACGTTTCAATGAACAACTGCTGAGTTTAGCTAACGAGCCAACGGTGTGCAGAATGAGGGGTTGTTTTTAACACTGCAACAAGTGGGGCAATTTTTAGATATGCTTGTACAACCTTTAAACTCTCTCGAGTTTTGATCTTTCTCACTTTAACAGGTGGAGCACAAGCGTCTCAGCTGTAAGATTGGCAACAAGCTTGGCGACACAAACTCTCCCACGCACCTGTGAGGCCCGTTGCGAGCATGCCAATGCCCTTGGTGACTGGATACAGGTTCGTCACGCCTCTATCCCACCTGACTAACCCACTTCTCACCCACCTCTCATCCACTTCGCATGCACCTGTGAGGCCCGTTGCGAGCATGCCAATGCCCTTGGTGACCGGATACAGGTTCGTCACGCTGGTCTCGTCTGTCAGCTTGTCCTGATGACAGGGCGGGAAAAACACAGGTGGTTTGGGAGGAAAGGGAGGGGGAAAGGGACTGGGAGGAAGGGGAAATTGAGCCGCAGTTGGGGTTGGGACGAGCAGGTTCGTGACGCTGGTCTCGCCAGTCAGCTTGTCCTGATGACAGGGCGAGACAACAACAATCGCAGAGACGGGGAAGGGGCGGGGGTGCGCGGGGATAGAGCATGATCGTCATTCTGGCCCCGTCGGTCAGCTTCTCCCCAAAACAAACAAACGCGGGGGTTTGGAAGGGGAAGAGACGGGAGACGAGAGGAGGAACATGGGGCGGTTGGATTGGACCAACAGAAAGGTTACTGTGTTGACAAGTTGTATAGTAACATGGTCACTTTTCATCCTGACGGAGGTTTGAGAGAAAGTGAGGGAACAAGGGGGAGGGAACGGAAAGAGCACTAGAAAGGGAGCTTCTTCTGAATGACGAAGCACACTGAGTTGCTCCTGGTTGGTTTGGTTGTGATGCCGCAAAAGCACCGAGTAGTGAGCGAGAGGGGGGAAACGGGCACTCACAGGGACCTTCGTTTTGAGTCACGAAGCACACGGAATCCTTGTTCGGGAATCTCAACGCAAAAGGAGAGCGCGCACTCACAGGGACCTTCTTCTGAGTCACGAAGCACACTGAATCCTTGCCTCGCACGGCGATGGACGTCACCCCAACCGACTTGACCGCCTTGAACGCATATTCTGGTGAAACGGGTGGGGAATAGTGGAGCAGGAAAGAGGAGGGGAAAGAGGAGCAACGTAACTGAAGTATTTCCCTAATGGAAAAATATGACTTCAATTAAGGCACTTTCTGATCATAAATCCGAATGAGCGGGGGGGGGGGGGGGGGGGGGAAGGGGGGGAGGGGGAAGGGGAAAAGGGGGGGGAGGGGCGAGATGGTGGTGATGTGGCGGAGGGAGTGTATGGGCGAGTCGAGCGGGAAGGAGGGAGGGTGGGGGAGAGAGGGAGAGGGCGAGGAAAGGAGAGAGAAAGAGGGAATTACTAAGTCAAGAGCGTGATAAGAGACGAACCAACTTGGTAGAGTTGGCCTTTGGGCAAGAAGATGGCGATAGGTGAGTGAGGGAGGGAGAGGGAGGGAGGTGAGAGAGGAAGACGGAGAGTGAAGGAGGGAGAAAGAGGGAGAAAGAGTCATGGGCGTGATAAGAGACGAACCAACTTGGTAGAGACGGCCTTCGGGCGAGAAGATGGTGATGTGACGGTCATACCCTGCTCCAGACCCGCGACTCATGGCGACGATTAAGGAGGATCCGCTACAAGCACACTGCAGGCAGGCAAGATTCGAAAGCGCCCCACAGGCGATCAGTATTCGATACAAGCACACTGCGGGGGATCAGAATCCGTTGGCAACAAGGACGCAAAAAACTTCTGCAGGATCTAATCGGACGAAACGAAACAAATCCAACCAGATTGACCATTTTTTTTTCCTAATTCGCGACGATTCTACGTTAGAGTCAATATTTCAGCGAGGATTGGCAGATATAATCGAGGCAACTCTAGGCTGTCGACGCGAATTCAGGCAGCTACAGGGTGGAATCTCGACGCTCACTCTATCGTCGTTTCAGCGATCCTGTAATACGTCCCTTTTACCCGGAAACTCGTGGAAATTAATGAATTGCGAATTTAGGCACTATCGCAACAGGAAGACGCTAGAATCTCGTCAGATTCAGATCGGGCTGCAAGAAGCGCGCCGATGGGAGCAGCAACATAACACCGTCAAGTCTCAGACGTAACTGACCTCGAATCAACCTCCTGCTATTGGCGCCTCGAAAGTCTCCTCGCGACGAGCCTATAGAGATATGTAGGTCACCCGAGATCGAGGAGACAGAGGAGATCGAGAAACTAATCTGCAAGATTAGGTCTGAATTCCGTTCAGTTTCATCGCATTTCGTTCTCCTGCGATAGATGAAAACTGCTTCCACCAAGGCAGACAGAAAGATACGGTGGAGGAATGCACACAACGCAAGTATCGCGCGCCAGGGATGCTGTATAAACTAACAAACCGTAAACTGGGTTGTGGCTTTCCGTAAGGCAAATGAACTTATTTATATCGAGTTTGTTTTCTCGATTTTGGCATCTTCATTCAACGATTTTCGTTTCCACTACACTACATGCTGGTTATTCACCCGAGGCTGAGATCCCATCGCTGCCAGCTTGGTCTAGAAATGACCGAACCGGTTTGTACCGATCTGACTTTTGCCGACCATCCACACAAACATACACTGCACTCACCCGAGCAATTCCCAAGGTCACCTTCGTTAATTCATTCACTCATCGCCATTTTGATCTGGCAGATTCGGAGACATCTGACGGCTTCTAGCGCGTATCCCGGCTTGTCAGGCGCTCTCTAGTAGCTCCAGTGCGAATTTGTGCTAGGTCGACCTGGTCGCTTTTAGAGCGAATCACCGCTTGTCAGTCCGAAACGAAGCGTGTCACGCCTAAGCACGCGGTCGTTCTGTGGTCCACCTTGCTCCTCGGCCCTTTCTTTCTGATTCGCGAAATCACCGTCGCTGAACCACTGATTGAGAGTTCGCACGAATTCTTTGCCAATGCGCATCGACATTTCGCGAATTCGCACGGTTTCTTCCGCAATCGCCACTTTTCGCTCTGTGATCTTTTGATCGGGAGCCGTATGTCTCTTACCTGATCCGTTCGATCGCTACCGCGTGATCAGAGCCGTCCGATAATGAGGAGTCAGGGATTGGTCGCGCACAAGACGTCTCGAGCAGGGGGAGCGGCGAATCTCAAGGCTCCGTTAAAAGAGCTCTTCGTTTGCCGTTACGAGGACGTGTTCAATGGACGTAGCCCGATCAGCACGTGCAGGGAGAAAGGGTTCGAAGGACGGCAGGAGCTGCAACGATTCTGGGACGAACTTCTTCTTTTAAAAGTAGGTTCTCTTGACACTATGCAGCAACTGCTTCTGCCTTAGTGGTTACTAATCTCAAAGGAGCGACCTAGTAGCGCTTCGCAGAGTAGCGGCGTAAACGCAGGCGAGTTCTGATTCCTAGAGCTGCGCGCATTGTGCAGATAGCTTGACTTATGCAACCTTGACTGCTCGCTCCCGGATCGCTTCAAACGCTAAACAGAACGCCGACTTTCTCATTTCCATATCGCTTCAAAATTCTCGCTGTTCGTATCCCCGTTATTGCGTGTCTCTGCGTCTTGTTATTCTGTCTCTGCGTCATGTTATTCTGTCTCTCCCAATGAGGCAGGTGAACGACGCTTACCTTGCACAGTTTATTGCATCCATCCCAGAGACGATCGCCTCATTGGTCCCCTCTTGTGTGTTCTTGTAACCCCATTACACGGCTGTGTGTGGTTGTTGTGTCACTGCTGATCCTCACTGCTGTGCCTTCATGCTGCGGCCTTTGAGCGAGGCAGGTGAACAACGCACTGTGCATCGCATTCATCCCCGAGAATCGCCTTATTGGTCTTGCCTTGTGTGTTTATGTAACCCCATTCCTAGTCTCACTGCTGCGTTTCACTGCTGTGTTATGCTGCGTCCCTTGAACGAGGCAGGTGAACGACGCTTATCTTGCACAGTGCATCTCTTCCATCCCCGAGGATCGCCTTATTGATCCTCTCTTGTGTGTTATTGATGTTACCCCATCACTCTGTCTCACTGTGCCCCTTGAACAATGCAGGTGATCGACGCCTACCTGGCACAGTGCATCGCATCCATACGGGCCCATCCCCGAGGATCGCCTCATGGCTCCCTCTTGTGTGTTGTTGTTACCACATTACTTTGTCCCTTGAACGAGGCAGGTGAACGACGCTTATCTTGCACAGTGCATCTCGTCCATCCCCGAAGATCGCATTATTGGCCCTCTCAAGCCCACCATCAACGAGATCTTCTCTGCCTGCCTCAGGTGAATCCCGAGCCTGCCTCAGGTGAATCTACAGCCTGCCTTAGGTGAGTTTCGAGCCTGTTACAGGTGTATTTACAGCCTACCTCGGGTGAATTCACAGCTCAGCCTATCCCAGGTGATTTTCCAACCTGTGTCTCAGGCGAATCCACAACCTTCCTCAGGTGAGTCCGCAGCCTTCCTCAGGTGAATTTACACCCTACTGCTCGTCTTTTGGTCATCTCACCTAGGGATGAGCAAGGGGCGAACACGAACACGTGTTCGCCCCTACACGAACACATCCGTTTGCCGAACCGAACACTGTTCAGTTCGGCGAACACTTTAAGCAAAAACACGTGTTCACCGTTCGCCTGTGAAGGCGTGTTCGGGCGAACCTCGAACACGTTCGTGTTCGTCGCGGGGCAAATTGCAGCAGCGGCCCGAACACGAACGTGTTCGGGCGAACCTCGAACACTGTTTAGCGAACAATTTAAGCAAAAAAAACAAAACCTGTTCGGTTCGCCTCGATTGTGCTCATGTCTAATCTCACCCATCTCTTTCCTTTCCCCCACCCCTCACCCTCCCCTTTTCCCGACCAGATATCTGAGCGACGTTAATTTCATTCGAGTGGCACATGCGCTTGAAACCCTAGCCGTCTTTCTGAGGGAGATTTTCAAGAAGAGGTTTGCGGAGCAGGTGAGGCGAGGGGGGTATTATGTGATAAGGCTGCATTCAAACAGCCCACATACCATAAGCTTGAATCAAGGTAGTTTCTGGGCGTGTTTCTGTGTGAGATATTCTCAAGGTGGTTTTGGGAGCAGGCGTCATGGTGCTGTGTGGGAAATGTCATGTCAGTGGGCTCAGCAGCAAAAGGACGGCTTTCCTGTGCGCACTTTTCTTCTCACGTCCCCCCTACATTGTCACCTGCAGACCTTCACTATAATCATTTCCTTGCAGGCAATGGGGGCAGCAGGTAGGTGAACCACGCCCTTATGCCCTTCAAGACTTGAACCACTAGGGATGAGCAAGGGGCGAACGCGAACATGTTCGTGTTCGCCCCTAGACGAACACATCCGTTTGCCGAACCGAACACTGTTCGGTTCGGCGAACACTTTAAGCAAAAACACGTGTTCGCCGTTCGCCTGTGAAGGCATGTTCGGGCGAACATCGAACACGTTCGTGTTCGTCGCGGGGCAAATTGCAGCAGCGGCCCGAACACGAACGTGTTCGGGCGAACATCGAACACTGTTCGGCGAACAATTTAAGCAAAAAAAACAAACCTGTTCGGTTCGCCGCCCTTGTGCTCATGTCTACCCCCCACCCACCTCTCCCCCCCCCGTCCACTGTGTTTCTCCTCCCGTTTTTCCCTGATCGTAATTCGCAGACGTTCACTATAATCACGCTTGTTGCAGGCAATGCGGACAGTGGGGATGCTTATTTCAAGAAGCTTATATGCGATGTCTCTGGCCTCCTCACAGGGGAGAACGTGCCAGTGCTCATAAAGGCACTCGGGACCAGGTAGGGTAACCCTGTAACATACGATAGTCGGACAGTGGGGATGCCTACTTCAAGAAGCTCATCTGTGATGTCTCTGGCCTACTCACAGGGGAGAACGTGCCAGTCCTCATAAAGGCACTCGGGACCAGGTAGGGTAACCTTGTGATGTTTTTCCTTCACTATAGCCACCACCAAGTGGTTATAGGGAAGCCACTGTTATGTCTCCGGGCTGCTCACAAACGTCAAAGTAAAAACAGTAGCCTCCTACCTCCTCCATCCACCCCTTCTCTCCCTCCTCTCCCTCCTCTCCCTCCTCCCCCTCCTCTCCCTCCTCATGGGTCTGACTGAAGCCCCTCAAACCTTCTCCCGTGTTGCACCTACACTATCTCTGGCCTCCTCTCTTTTGCTGCTTATTCCCCTACTACCCCCCCCCTGCTCCCTTGTCTCCCCTCTCCCTGCTCCTCCTCCCGCCCTCTGCTTCTCCCCTCCCAGGCTCTTTTCGTGCTTCTCACAGCCTCAGACAATGTCAACGCCAACCCCGATGCTCCTCTTTCCCCCCCTGTTCCCTCTCCCTGCTCCCTCTGCCTCCTCCCTTGCCCTGCTCCCTCCCTCTGCTCCCTCCGCTGCAGACTCTTCCTCGTGCTGCTCACAGCCACAGAAAACGTCAACGCCAACCCAGTCGCTTCCTACCTCCTCCTCCACCCCATCACGGACCCCCTCCTCTTTCTCCTCTCCCTCCTCTCCGTCCTCTCCTTCCTCTCCCTCCTCCCCTTCCTCTCCCTCCTCTCCCTCCTCTCCCTCCTCTCCCTCCTCTCCCTCCACTCCCTCTTCTCCCTCCTCTAATGGCCCTTTCATTGATAGTTAAGGTGAACAGATATGCAAGGTATAGGTATCACACAAGTAGGGCTAACACATATTACGCTTCCTACTCACTCCTCAGCGCAGCACCCTCTAAGCAAGATCCAGTGCAGGATCAAGAACCGAGAGGCAGTCCCCAAGGGACGGGGCCTCACCCACTGTCTCTAGTAGCGGGTTTTCTACCGCTGCTGCTATGTTGCACTTTTCCAGGTACCCAATCGACTGCCCCCTTTGAAGAGCCACCGACCACTGTTGCCGGTATTGATGTAAGAGCTTGGCAGCTTGGTAGGAGGATGGCTCGGCGTTGAAAAACTGCCGTGCAGCCGATCTGCGAGCAGCTTCAGGAAGTCAACCGACTCGGGGCATGGGCACCCATATGTCTCGACCGCGAGTGGGAAAAACTTCACCCACTCTGGGCGGTCCTTGTAAAGGCCGTGTTTCTTGTCTGCCGCTTCCCGTGCCGCCCACCCCCGCCCCTTGGTTGCGTTCTCATCGCGGGTGCTGATGGGATCTGTTACCGTCACGTCACAGATGTAGACGGTGCCGGTAGAGCGGTCACGTAAGGCTAGGTCCGCCTCCTTCTCCTCCACTGGGCTGAAGGCGGCTGTTTCAATATGCACCATGAAGCCAGCATCTTGCGCCATCCGTGCGCATTCGTCTCTAAGTTCGTTGTGTGTGTTGGTACGCCCCCCCCCTATACCGCACCGTAGCAGATGATTCGAGAGCCGTTTATCAAGGATTTTCACTTTCTTCGAGGAGTTGCAAACCCCGGGAGCTGCAAAGGGGAGCCCCAGCCGAAACTGGAGCGCGTTGGCATAGTGGGGAGCATCAAGGCGTAGCGAGGAGAAGAGAGGCACAGCATTTAACCAATCTCCCGCCCCGTACCCTGACAGGGACAACATCCACTGCGTGTGACCATTGTTGGGGCTCGGGCCCAACCCCCGCACCTCCTCCACCTGCACAGCATAGGGCTGGCCCTGAATAGCCGTGGCCAGCCCATGCTGCAGCTTTCCTGCAGTTGGAGCTGTTCTCTCTGCTTGCAGAACTTCTTGGGCTGGCAGTGGAAGTTCCTCCTCGCATTCCGCTAGCCATTCAGTCAAAGGGGAGGTCTGAGTGTAGGGGCCGCGCATCAGCTCGCGGGTAACCTCCAATGGGCCGGTGCACTCGCTGTCCAGTGAGTCAAGCAGGAGCTGCACCTGCGTGTAGCTGGCGAGGAAGCTGTAGCGTCCTTCCACAGAAGGGTCTGTCAGCCCGAGGCCACCGAGCGACACGGGGAGTGAGGCCTGCCCACGTGCGTGATGTTTCCTCGTCTCCGCGCGGGTGGTTAATGCCACACACTATTAGGAGTGTTTCCAGCAGCCGCCGTCCCCAGTCAGACCACTCCTCCTTGGGCAGGATCGGCAATGGAGTCGTGCGGGCTAGGTAAGACACTCGGCGAGAGATGCACCGAGACAGCAGCAGTCCCGCTAGCTGCGGCTCCATCCGCTCAATCAACCCCAGCGGCGCACCCATCGCCTCTAGGCTGGACCGTACGAAGGCGGAGGTTGCCATGGGGGTGCCGATGTAGCTGCCCAGCACTTTCAAACCGTCGCTGCTGGGTGGAACTCCTTCAGGTTGGCGACAGTCCATGGGCACCCTGCCTGACCATGCCCCGCACTTGGTAGGATTGTGGCTGAGCCCGATTTCTGCCAGGCGGCCCGTGAAGTTGTCTAAAGCAGCTGCGCACGACGACGGCTCTCCTAGGAAGGTGACGTCATCCGCGTAGGCCAGGCAGATGACCTCTGGGTGTGCCTCCGCAGCTGCCTTCAAAGCTGGGTGCATGGCAGCGGCAAAAAGAAGGGGGCCGAGGGGATCCCCCTGGCGGACCCCGGTTTCACTGTGCAAGGGCGGGTGGTCAAAGGCTGCATCCAGGTGCAGTGTGGAAGGTTGGTCGTAGGAGAAGCGTACCAATGGCAGCAGTGGTTCTAGCTGTGAGCCTTTCAGGGCTGTCGCTATGGCGTGGCGGTCAACGCTATTGAACGCGTTAGCCAAGTCAGCCTGCAAGACTAGTGCGTCCTGGTTGGCCGCGGTGAAAGTTCGAACGACATGTATGACTGCTTCTGCTCCTCTTGGCACGGCCACTCCAAACTGTAAAGGTAAGAAAAACTCTCGTGCCGATTCTGCTAGCTGGGTAAGCGCCGCTTTGGCTGCTAATCGGAGGATGCACTCGCCTATGGCAATCGGCCTGGTACCTCCGTCCGGCTTGTCGAGGGCTATCAGACGCGATGCTGTAAGAAGCTTCCCTACTTCCTGGTGCAACTTCCCACGCAGGATTTTGTTGACTAACGCGTGTAAGTGAGAACTAACCGTGGCGTGCATCAGGGCAGCTTCGCGCAGGTGCTCGAACGTCGTGCCTGAGGGGCCTGCGCCTACCCCGTTCTCACATCTCGAGAGAAGCTTCAAGAAAACTTCGCGCGATACTGACAGGTAAGAGTCTGGTTCAGGCTGGGGACATGGTGCGTCAGGGCGCGAGGCGCTTGGGTGTTTGGTGCGGAGGGATTCCAGAACAGCAGGTGATGGCTTGCTGACTGGAGTGGCCTCCAGTGCCATGACTGCTCTCCGCAAACTGCCACGTCGCGCCAGTCCTTCAGCTCTGGAGATTACCCCCAGGTCATCTGGCTGGTGTCTTGGGGGGGGAGGAATATCCAACGAGTCCACCGTTTCCTGGTACAGCGATTCTCACTCCCCTCGCAGGAGTTTACGCAATCGGCTCCTGGTCGCCTTCCAGTCAGGGTGTCTCGGCGAATGCTGACGCAGCGTCAGGCGAGCGGCAAACAGCAGAACCGTCCAGGCTAGAATGGAGTCAGGGTCGCGTGCGAGTCGTAGCAGTGGTGTCAGCATTACCATTGCGAAAAGAAGGCGCAGTTTTTCCGGAAAGCGACGTGCTAGTGGTGCGTTGCGACTGTGGCGTACCATGTCCAGATTCCAGTCACTGACGCTTGCGAAAAGCGTGTCGTCCTTGGCGAGGGCTTCGGGTGATCTCTGGGGGGGGAGCTGTGGCTGCTGTTGGTTACCCCTCGCTGCAGTTCGCGGTGCAATTACAGGTGATGGTGTCCGGTTTGGTTGGGCGGGCTGGTTGGCAGTGGTGGCAGGGTGGTCGGAAGCGGTTCGAATCTGTGGAGAGGGTCGCGGCTGGGTGGGTGTGTTTCTGAAATTTCTTGCCGCGCTCCGGGCGTGGGTTGAGCTGACTCTCTGCCGAGCAGGAGTTTGTGACTGGGCCTCCTCTGAGGCATTCGAACTTAAGGGCGAGTCTGCTTCTTCCTCCTCCGCCTCATAAATACTCCCCGACACTACGTCTTCTTCATTAGCTCTTCCTAACTCGTTTAAAGCCCTTCGAGCTGCTGTCTGGAACGCATTCTCCGGCCCACCCTCACGCGTACCCCTACCACGCCCGCGACCTTCGGCTCGACCCCCGCGCATCCGCGCACTGGCTGCGGCCAGCAGGGGACTTTCGCGACTACCTCCTCCTGCGCTCTGACGCAACCATGCGTCCTCCAGCGCTTGTTGCCGGCGCGTCCGCCGTAATGGCGACTGAAGCGGAGAATTCGGCGGTAGACCAAGGTCACACCGCTGAGAGCGTGCATGCTCCGCCTCCGGCCCCTGCTGCTACCGCTGCTGTTGCTCCCCCGGCTCCTCCTGCCGCTGTTGCGGCGTCGTCAATTCCTGTCCCGCTGGCTCCTGCCCCCCCGCCGAGCCTCCCCCTTCCTCACGGTGTCCCCGTGTCTGGCGCGTCGGCTCCCGTTGCGCTGCAGACGCTTGTGGCACCGCCGCCTGTCCAAGCTGCCGTCGGGGGCCCTGCGCAGGGGACAGCGGTGGGCGCCGGCCCCGACTCTGCACACTTGGTGGCCCCCGCGGCTGCGCCGGTACAGCCCGTCGCGCAGCGGCACGCGGAGTCACAGAGTCATGGTGCCGGGGCGGGCAATGCGGCGGTGCATCGGGGGCGAGGTTCTCCTCGGCGTCGCCCCTCCTTGTCGTACCGGTCGGCGCATCGTGGAGGCCGCGGTGGCTGGTGGGGAGGTCACGTTCGCGGGCGCGGTGGGCCAAGCGAAATGCAGCAGCTGCGCGAGGATTTCACGGGGATGTTGGCTGCGGTGATGCGCGCTGCTCTGACGGGTGCGCCGAATCCTGAAAGCTCGCTGGCTCCTGCCGCCGCAGCGCGCGCCCCTGCTCCTGTGCATGCACGTGCTCTGCCGGCCCCACACGCGGCTCTTGCGCCAAACGCTCAGGCGTACTCGCAGGTTCATGCTCTTGCTGTTGATCGTGCTCCGCCTGCCTACACGTGTCCTGTTTCCGCTGCGCCGTATCCCCCTTTGCCATGGATTCCTCCAGTTCCAGGCATGGGATTTGTGGGAGCGGGAGGCGGAGAGGCGAGGGGGGCCTTTGTCCCTCCGCGCCGGATTGCTGATGTTCTGTCTGCGCTGCCTCCGCCCGCTCTTCCAGTTCCCGCTGCCGCTCAGTCGACCGGACTGGCCCAAGTTCCCACGGCGACTCTCGCGCAGCTGTGGCGCTTGGTGGAATGTCAGCAGGCCCTGACACTGATTCTGGTGAATTCGCATTTTGCCATTCTCCGGAGCCCACGGAGCACTCTCGATCATCGTGCGCGAGCTGACTGCTTGACGGCGGCCGCGCAGTTTGCTTTCCTCCTGCTACCTGTGCTGGCAGCGCCCGCGATGGGAGGCGTAGCGGTCTCGCAGCTGGACGAGACTGTCCAGGATCTGACAGGGCACGTCCACGAAAGAGGCGCTGTTGAAGCTGTCGGCGCGACCGCATTAGTGGTCCGACAGCTGTGGAGGACCATGCGTGGAATCCTCGCGGCCCTTGATGCCCATCTCATGTAGTCTCTGGCACCCGCCGCCCGTAGACCCGCTGCATTTCGCTTCTAGTAGTTGAGCGCGTAGGCCGACGCTGTCATGTCCTTTGTGTTTATTGTGTGTTCCGCATCTGAT